TAAAAAAAAAATATATAATAATTATATAATTTATTACTAACTTTAACAATTTCAACAATTATATAATACAAACATAATAACTAAAACGTCCATATTCCTACTTCAAGGTAAATTCGACTTGATACAGCAATTTGACTTTTTGAATAAGCTTATGCATGGATGGGGTAAGAATAGCATCCCCTAAAAGCTCGTCGCGTAGTAAAAGCTCCAAGCGCTGCGTGAGCGTGAGTTGTGGGCGTGTGCGTGTGTGTGTATGTGTGTGATGCTTTTGTCCATGGGGCGCGCGCAAACTTTTCGCATCTTGCACCGACAACTGTGAAGTTGTTTGGAAATTTTTTGGTCCATTCATCTGGCAGCCAGTGCTGGGCAATCAGTACAACAAATACCGTTAGATGGCACAGACGCCGCTGCGACGGTCGCGCATTGAACAGATCCTGACAACGAGCCAGACGACGTGGACGTGGAAGCCGCATCATTTGGCGCCACATTAAAGTGCTACGACCGAGGTCCTTGCGGCCCGTATCTCCCTCTCGCTGCGTGTGGCTTACTTGTGTGTGAGTGTGAGTGCATATGACTCTATTAGTGTGTATATTTATTTGACTGTGTGATTTCGCGCGCTTTTGTGTCGCCTGCTTTAACTGTTTATCTTGGCCACTGCCTTAGCCCTGGCTCAAACAAAGGCGGCAGCCAACACAAAAGGACCGTCCAGAATTCGAGTTGCGTGTTATTTGCGGGCATATTGATCAACTGCTAGCAATTAAATTCAATTGCTGCTTAAATTAGGCATTTTATGGCCGCCAGACAACAAAAGCTCACCACGATTTAAGCCAAATAGCGTCGCCGGGTAAGTGTTAGTGTGAACTCTGGATCAGTTAACAGCTACCAGCTGACCACCTCCATATGGATGGACCATATAAATCAATTACGGAGTCACCTAAAGCTTGCCAGCTGCCACAAGACTAACTGCCAGCTGCCAGCCCATATAAATGTTGGGTCTCCGTGCTAAACGCATCACCGAATTCAAAGTGCCTTTTACTTATTTTATCTCTTTTATCTTTTATCTCATTAAAGGGCTTTTATTGCGTGACAAAAGGTGTAAAGTGTATTGCGATAATTTTTTAGTGAACGTCGAGGGCGAAAATTTTAATGCGCTGCCAAAAATGTCACGCGCATTAATACATATATACCAGTCTATAATAATTCCTAGAAAATTATGTTGCGTTATGTTGCATAAGGATATATTTGCATTTGTGTATTGAAAATTTGCATGATATTAGTCTGGATTATTTATGTGCGGAAAACCAACAGGGAGATTTGAGATTTTTTTTTGTTATCAGTATAAATAGCTCAGTGTTCGATTCTGTTTCGTAAGTCTTGTGTACAGGGTATTTTGGCAACGAACAGTCTATCAATGTCATCAATTTTTACGTGTTCATTACACGCACATCAATCTCTCTCCAAATTCACTTCAGGGCTTTCTGGTTCAGTTTAAGGCGTCAGTCACCGAACTAAATAACGCTGAGTCTCCCTTTTTTATTATGTCTCTGTCCGATTCGATGCATAAAGTGAAACTTCTTTTATGCGCATTTTAACCCATTGGCCACGGCAAATTTCGCCCGGAGCATTTAACATATTTTATAAAGGCGAAAAGGGGGAGCTGCTTAAAGCATTAAACGTTACTTTTACGACGAACCATTTGCATATTATGAATAAGCCATTACGTTTCAATAAAATCTTTTGCTGTTTTTTTATGATTTATAGGGGAAGACTGAAAATGAAATTGTTTACCGGTTGTTAATGTATTTGATTTCGATAAATTATCATAATTTGATTTGCATGTATTTGACCTTGATTTAGTTGGATCATTTTTCTAGAATTCTTGTGACTGAGCTCAACATTTTGAACTTGATATTTTTCCTTGACTTTTCTTTTAATATTCCATATAAATTTTACTGCATTCTGCACGTACAATGTGCATTTGCGTTATATTTATACTTCTTAAGCATACGCTGCATTCCCTGTATAAAATTTCAGACATAAAGCTTTGCTCTTATAGAACTAGGTTTATAGTTATTTTAGTGCGGGACATTAGAGTAAGTAAATGAACGTGGGCTTAAAAGCACGTCGGGACTTACAATTATTTCTGGCATGAGCTCGAAAATCGGACACTAATCCTAAGCTCGACAATCCCCAGTGTATACAAGGGATTAGCATGCATTAAAATATGGGCATTTAATAGACGCAGAAAAGTGTTAACAGTGCTTATCAGAGCAGCGTTCGGCCTCAACTCAATTGGGCACAGTTTTAGGGCCAAGGTTGAAGGTGCGCTCTCTGGGCATTTTGCTAACTCACATTAATTATGTTTAAATATTTAGCCTGACAACTGGAAGATTTATTATGCCCATCGCACATACATATATGTTACAATGATTAATGGCCTACGAACTATATACGCATTCGGAATTGGCTTATGAAAGCCTCCGCTAATAGATATTTATGCAGTGTCCAACGTAAAAGCATAACTGTGGTTTATTTGGCTTACTAGTCAAATTGTATATTGTAGGCGGGAAATAAAATAAATCTAAATTTGCAATTTATAAAATACTTTTACGATAATTTTAATTTATAATTTACTAGAAAATGTACTCTTATCAGGAAAAATCAATTTGAAAATACATATTAGTAAGTAAAACTAAAACTATGCTCCTGAAAGTATGCTGTATCTTCAGAAAAATTAATTTTTTTTTTTTTTTTTTTTTTTATATTTGGTTTATTAAGTGTAGAAACTGTACAATCACATATAGTACNATGATGGCAATATCATCAGCATATGTGGCAATGACAGCTTTCGAGGGAGCATCCATATGTTGAGAGGACGGGCTAGGTATATCAGAGGTGTACAAGGAGAACAGCAGCGGACCAAGAACACTGCCCTGCGGCACTCCTGCTCTCATAGGGTATGTGGACGAGAGTGTATCTTTTACCTTGACTTGGAACACACGGTCTTCTAGATAAGATCTTAGGAGGCCATAGTACGGAGCAGGTAGAAGGTTTTTTATTTTGTGCAGTAATCCATCGTGCCACACCTTATCAAACGCTTGCTGCATGTCTATAAAGACAGCGTTGGAGTATTCAGAGTCATCAAAAGCCTGCAAGATGTGTTTCACCAGTCTGTGGACTTGTTCCACTGTGCTGTGTCCCTCCCGAAATCCAAATTGGTGATCCGGCAGGATATTGGAAAAATTAATTAATGAAAAATTGATGAATGGATTATTATAATTTTTTATTGGCGAGCTTAAATCGTACACATAATTAGAAACTGTTAATATTATTCATTGAAAATTTGTTCGTCCGCTTAACCTTTCAAATATCTGCAAATACTAGCTATATGTTTATACATTCAGTTAAATGCAAAAGTTGTCCTTTAACATTTTGAAATGATTTATTATTAAAATATTTCAATCGATTTATAAACGCAGAGACTATTAACACTTAATGGCATTACAGATCGTATAAGCCTGCTATTATTTGTATTCATCTCTGTATACATATATAATTCTGTACGTGCGTGTGTATGTGTGAGCTATGCTGCAGGCGTATGCGCGAGTGACTTGACTTACAATTAGGGGCAATCGCAAGGAATCACGACGTCTGACGAAATTTGAGGAGTAAAACGTGCGTCTTTAAATTGATGCATTGTTAGCCTAGCATTTGCTTTTCATTTTATATTTTTCTTTCTTTTTTTTTTGTTTTTTTTTTTTTGTACGCTGGAAACGCCTTTACCGTAACCGGGCGCCAAGTTCCGAGCACCGAGTTCCGGGCCAAGCACGCAAATTCGACGGCAAATGGAAAACTTTGCGCCATAGAAATAATTTAGACAATGGGCCACTCGTGCGCAAATGCCATACCCAACCAAATGGTTGTGGCGGTACGGAAGAGCTCCTAGTGGATGGGATATGGTTATGGCCACACTCACACACATACGTACACTCTCACACTCACACACTGGGCAGACAATCAAAACAGAAATAGAGGCGACAAATTTAGTGCTGTTTTGCTTTTCTCTTCTGCTTCGCTTTTTTGTGCATTATTTGGGCGTTATATGAAGTATCTGAGTGGAAGAACAGCCACTGGACACTGATACAAAGCAGCTCCTCTATCTTCTACCCACACACACACACACACACGCCCACAGGTAGCCACTCATAAACAGCGTGTTCTCGTGTCCGATTGGAGTGCTGTTAGCTGTTGTTGAACGCATGCTGGTACTTGGCTTGAAGCACGCACACCTTAACCGCAACCAGGTAGGAGCCGAAAAACAAAACCGAGCGCGTTTCGCATGGCGAACAGTCGACCATGCCTCTGCTTAACTGGGCTCGGGGACGCCACTCCTTGCCAATATAAGTGGCGTAGATTGCACACACGCTGATGGGCATCATCATCATCATCGTGGCGCACGGCCACAAGCGTGGTTCCCACTCCGCCACAGCTGTCCATATTCCCACATCTGGTATTTTCGTTCACAGCATATGCTAAAAGTTCCGGCTCATATTTTCAACGGCCTTTGAAGTTGTGTTTTGCATATTCGGTAAACTTTAACTACTCCTTGCCCAGATATTTAAGCTGGGATAAGTTATCCCAATTGCTGCTCCATCAATATGTTATCAAAACTTTTTGTTAATATAAACAACTTTTGGTCCACTCCAAATTGTGATCAAACTATTGAAAATGATTTGGACAATATTTCATAGCAGCAGTTTGAAACTTTGTTTTTAGTTGAGAGTTTTTAGTCAAGGGTTGCACATGTTTGGAACTTTTATTGATAGTGAGAGCATGCAATATTTTATTTTTTTTATTTCGTTTTTATTTATTTATAGTCTTTTTTGGTAATAATATAATATTCAATGTAGCTTATAATTTTCAAAGATTTACTTTATTAAATTACGTTTATGATTTTTTTTTTTTATCAAATTAACGCCTAGCCTATCCTGCCTATCATCAAAGACCCTTTTTATACCCTGAACCCATTGAAAATGGGAAATCAGGGTATAATGGTTTTGTGAAAAAGTATGTAACGGGCAGAAGGAGGCGTGGCAGACCCCACAAAGTATATATATTCTTGATCAGCGTGACGAGCTGAGTCGATATAGCCCTGTCCGTCTGTCCGTCCGTCCGTCCGTCCGTCCGTCCGTCCGTCCGTCCGTCCGTCCGTCCATCCGTCCGTNCACCATATGATTACGCTCTAAAAGTTTCATTAAGATCGTATGTCTACAAAAGAAATTATTTAACAAATAAATTCTCATAATATTGCCCACACTGCAGCGCAGCCCAAGCGCAGTCGCTGCTTACTGCGCAGTTAGCAGAGCACAGGCTTATGCGTGCGTGTGGATGCATGTGTATGTATGTGTGCATAAAAGAAGTGCAGAATGATTAGAATATCAGCTTGGAGGGTTCAGGGTATCTCCTAGTCGAGCAGTCTCGACTGGAGCTTTCTTACTTGTTAAGTTTAATCCTTTTTGTTAGTCACTGGGATGTATTTTATTAAATTTACTGCGCAGCTGCCCATAGTCCCTGCTCTTACTCTAAAATCTGCTCGTAGTTTGGAAAATCATTTTCTTGGTTCCTAACATGAATTCAATACACAAATTTTATTAAATTTGATTTATGATGGTATTTTCGGCTCGGATTTGTTGTTGCGGCTAAGTGTTTGACTGAAACCTCTAACTAGAGGTTAAGTTTTTACTAAAAACTGTGGGTGAATTCCGAGTTGGCAACTCAATCACAATTCTAACTAAAAACTTTTTTTTCCGGGTCAGAGCACTTTACATAAAACTATCAATGTTCATTTTGTTTTACAAATTAATGCCTGTCTTTTTTCATTTTGCAAACTTTAGCAACCAATATTTGTGTTAGTCTGGAAACTTTTGCCAGGTAGTTAAAAACAATAAATAAAATATTCGCCAAGGCAATCGAAAAGACATTTTTATTGCTTTTATAATATTGGTATCTGAGAAATGCCAAGCCAGCTGTCAAGTGCCCTGTACATAGCTCAAAGGGTGAACTTTTATCAGAATATGTTGTATGTGTATATATGTACGTCGCACATATATGTATATGTGGATGTAGATCAAAGTTGAACTGTGAGACTTGCCTTGTTGTGTCTGTAATGGAGTTTTATTAGAAACGTGCAAAATTTATAAATTAAAGCTGCATTTCCCTCCTTTTAGGTAGTGTGCTCGCCTAGCTGACTATATTTGTATTTAAGCTAAACTTTTTGAGTTTTGTGTGGAGGCGTGGCTGAGCACACGGCCAAGCGATAATTAATCGTTTTAAGCAGGAGCAATTAATGCTTATGGCAAAACTTTTGTTCATGATTAATAACGAAAACAAGCAAACTTTCAAATGAATAAGAGGATTAACCGATTACACTTTATTAAGGCTTGCCTGGCTAAGCTCAGCAGTTGATTGGCCTTGGAATATAAATAGCACAAGTTATTCAAGCAATATTAACTAGTCAATCAAACAATCATAAACAAATAAATATGCATTTATTTTCAGCTGAGAATAGTAGTCATATGAAACCGAAATGATATTTGTTTAAAGCTGAAATTGAAAATGAAAATGCATCCAAAAGGTCGAGTGAAGGAATAGCAACTAAGGCTATACCCTGTAAAAAGCTTATTTTTTATTATTTTTCTATTATTATATGACATATATGCTGAATACTTTTAGCAGTAACTGTGCTGTGGTAGTACCCCAGCTCTAGGCTATATGAAAGGGAAATTTATTTGTTTATTTCATGGAATGATAAATCTAATTATTTTCTAATGTATATTACCCATAGCAGTAGCAATTAGCAGCCATTACTCTTCCAATTTAAAGAGGACTTTCAAACAAACTTCTCTATTTGTCATTTTCATCTCGAAATAGGCAGTAAATTTAATTTACCAAGAAATGCGTGTACAGCACTATTCACAACACACACCACAAATTAGAGTCAGGCTGTTAAGTCGAAGGGTATTCGTACAGGTAATTCTTGAGTATATAGATAGTGGTTTTAGCAAATTGCCAGTCCCAGGTGAGGCGGAAGCTTGCGGCACGTATGGCAGCCACGTAGGCAGCATGCAATCGGAATGTGGTTCTATTACACATGCATGGCATGGCTCGTACTCATTAAACTTGCCACGGCTGGAGGCGAGCAAACAATGCGAGCTCAAATGGAGCAGAGCAAAGTGAATGTACAACATATACCATATGCAGCTCGCAAAACCTAGCCAAAATGCAATTCGTAAATTGCTTCGTACGCTGGGCCGCAATCGACTAAGGACTTGAGGTGAAGCCACAGCACCACTCACGCTCACACTCTGTCCAACACACACACACACACACACCCCTACACATTTAGCAGGAGCCAAAGCTACTTCCACTAATTACACAAATTGAACGCAATTTATTTGTTGGTGAGCGTTTGCTCCGGCTTCTATCTTCGTTTTCCTGATGCTGCCTCCGCGGGTCTTGGCACCTGCTGCGGCTGCTGTTGCTGCTGCCCGCCGAAAGTGCGAGCAATTTTGTTAATATTAAATAGGTACATGCACAATTATATGCATAATTACACAACAAGGTCGTCAGCAGTGGGCCACTATGTGTGTGTGAGTTGGTTTAAGTGAGTGTGAGTGAGAGTGAGAGTGAAAGTGCGGTGCTTTCATAATTAAAACGCGGCTGACGCGACTCACGCGTCGTATACGTAACGTGACTTTTGCAAATTTCCTTCTGCCCCGTGTATTTTATGATTTGATGTGTTGTAATTGAACTCACACACAGTGACTTACAAACAGCCACTTACACTTACACACACACATACAAACACATACGCTGGCAAACACACTCCAGCCGCTTTGTATGCGCCTGTTACATGATATAAATTGCAATGTGGTTTGCTTTTCTACTTGACAGCTCATAAACATCAACATAAGCGGATCACAAGCTAAGCCAATTCAAGGACTTCTGCTTGGGTCACAGCCAGCTTGACCGGAAGTTGCATTATAAGCACACGTCAAACGGAACAAAGCAACAACAAGCAACAAGATGGCGGGCGGCGGCAGGACAGCCGGCAAATACGGATATTCAGACAACAATTATTACAGTAGTAAGTAGCCTACGCATATACGGACACGAGCACATATACGGACACACACATATACACACACACAGATTGAAAGATATACATATGTATGTATGTATGTATGCAATCGCACAGAATCTTTGACAACTTCATTAACTTGCCACTGTCCATATGGCACAGTGGTGCAAACTGTTTATTAATTATAATACATATGTAATGAACATCGTACATATATACATATAATGTTGGTTACATTAATAAACTTGCTTTATATGTATATGTGTATGATATATTTTCATTTTATTGTACTACGACTTAAATTTCATTTGTTCCATTGTTATTTTTATAAGCAAAGACCTTTCTTAACTAAGTACAAATTGCTTTTATAGTTTATGTTTATATTTATTTTTTCTTTGTTCTATGCTTCTGAGTAATTTTTTGATGTCAAGGGCCCTCAGCATCAATTATAATCAGAATAATCTGGCATTCTCACATTATTTCTTTGATTTTTATGTTATTTACGCTCCTTGCTCCTTGGGGTTCTCCACGTTGAATTCCACAGTATTGCCGCGTAAAGCGTTTGAATGGAGGCTTACGCATGGGGCTATTGTCCTATTCATTGGGGGCATCAAGAACAACATTTGGCGGCTTTGGTGGATCAGCCAGCGGCGTCGACTTGACGTCTAAGTTCTCATCCTGCCGGTTGCTTTTGCTGTTGCTCTTGTTGTTGTTGTAGCTGATGAACTGCCGCCGCGTGGCATCCTACACAGTAATCACTGTACGATAGCGAGCTTTTGTGTATTCCTCTTTCCTTTTTTTATACCCTGAACCCATTGAAAATGGGAAATCAGGGTATAATGGTTTTGTTGAAATGTATGTAACAGGCAGAAGGAGGCGTGGCAGACCCCACAAAGTATATATATTCTTGATCAGGGCGACGAGCTGAGTCGATTTGGCCCTGTCCGTCTGTCTGTCTGTCCGTCTGTCCGTCTGTCCGTCTGTCCGTCCGTCCGTCTGTCCGTCTGTCCGTNTCGAATCCCGATCGATGCAACTGATGTTAATTTTTTTTAATTGTTTCAAAATATTTTTATATTTTATTAAATGAGTTTGGTATTTTATTTATATTTTTAAATACATCGAAATTGAAATTTCAGCCATACTAAATGAGCATTTTTATTTGTTGGGTTCAGGGTAGTATCTAGTCGAGCACTCTCGACTAGAGTTTTCTTACTTGTTTTTATTACATTTTATTTTTATTTTTGGCAACTTCCACAGACGTGTTTTTATTACATTTGTATTTTGTTGCGTTTCGTATCCTTGTAAACAAGTGTTTGTGTGTGGAATACATATATATATTTTATACGTATGTATATGTATATATATACATATATTTAGTGTGAGTTTGGGGTTTATGTACATTTTATGCTACCTTGTGCACTGAATATCATTTACTTTTGCTCTCAAATACAAATTCGATTGCCGACTAGGCCGAGCCTTGCATGAAGAGCACGCAAACCCCAGGGATCAAATATTACATAGGCATTGTCTATGAATGAACGTATAGAAGCCATGCCAGCATACGACTTTTTGCTGTGTTTGCATAAAGTTTTGTTTTCTCAGGTCCTAGCAACGCCCAACCACGTCCTCGTCCACTCACCATCTTAAGTAGGTTTATGCCCTTATGAACGCCTCCAGACCGCCCGCTGGCAACACTTACGTACGTGTGTGTGTGTCTGTGTGATGCAAGAGCTTGGCTGCTGCTTTTGTGCTCTTATATAAAAGTTTATCATAGTTTTTGATTGCCACAAATTGTGCGTGAATTATGTATTGTGATCCAGCTAAATGCAATAAATATGTATGTATATATTATACTGTTAGAATGTGCCGAAAATCCACATACAAAGACCACCTGTCACAGCAATGTATGGGTGTAGGTGTGAGTGTGAGTGTGGGTGCTGAGGGAAGAACGACCATGTTAAAGCGAGTTTCATGCCCGCAGTGTTGGTAAACAGCATAAAATGGGCATAAAAGAACTTTCGGGATTTGTCTACATAATTGAAAATAAATATCAATTTTATTGGAATTGGCGTGCTAATGGTGTATGCTGTATATACTTCATTATTATTGCTATTGTTTAGTCAACAAATTGCCTTGAGTGAATTCATTTTATTTATCTACAAATTGAATTCGATTGCTCGCTCGTCAAGTGGATTTCAAACGAATTACATTCTTAAAAATTTATCAACACGTATTTTTTATGAATATTTCATAAAGCGCCATAATGAGTAAAATTATTTGAAGTGCTTTTGGCAATGCTGGCTGAATTTTTAATAGGTTCAAATGGATTAATGGAAATATTTAGTTAAATTCGCTTAAATTTAAAGTATTTTATTTTTGTATCCTAACGCTCACAGCTCACAGCCTAGATAACAATTGTTGTAAATATTTTCCTATTTCTTATATAAGTGCGAATTTATATGTTTAAACAAATAATAATAGAAAGTATTAAATGTTTTATACAATATATACATATCTAAATGAATTGCCCAGAATTCTTACAAGAGTACAATAGCTACCATCTAACACAGAGCAATTTAAAATATCTGTCTACGATCCATTGCAGAAAGCTTCGTAGATTTGGAATATCTGTCATGGGCGAAAGTAATATTATTTCTCTAATATTATTTCTCTAAGTATTGTTTAGCCGGAAAATGTTTAATAGTCGGATAGACAACGTGGGCCCAGGATATGCTATTGAGGAAGATTATAAGGAATGCCCATATGGTTGGAAAAATTCCAGCAACTGCCTGAAGAAGCAAATAGCTCATAATTAGCTCGGTTAAGAGAAATCAATCTTATGTATGCTTACCAAATATTTGGTCTTAATGTAGCCATAGCCACAAATAATGGCATTTGGGGGCGTGCTGACCGGCAGATGATAGGACATGCTGATGGCCAGTGCGGCTGGTAAGGTTAGCATCAACGGATGGACCTTGACCGTAACGGCCTGCAGGATTGACAATTAGGCCGGCAACTGGAACTCAGTCTCCAAGTGACTTGGGTTAGCTGTACTTACCATCTCGCTGAATATGGGTATGAGTATGTTGCAAATGGCCACATTCGCACTGAAGCAAGTGCAGAAGAGGCTAACCACGATAATAAAAGCTATAATTACAGCTGTTGGCATTACGGTGATGAAGGACAAGGAGTCGCCCAGCATTTTGGCCATTCCACTGACCTTACTGCCCTCAGCAAGCGCAAAGCCGCCCCCTAAATCAAAAGCACACTAATAATACTTCACATAAATATGAAAGAGTTAGATACGATGCTACCAAGCAAAAAACACAGGCCCCAAGGTGTATTATGGTGAAGGAAGATCCAGGACAAGCAGGCGTCCATGCTGCGCCCAGGGAAAGGAGCTGTTGTTAGTGAATACATTCATTGTCAGTTAGTTCAAATAGTCGATTCCAAATTTAGAAGCCTCTGCTAACTTACGTCCTTTACAGCAGTACCTGAAGAAGGTGTACTGAGTGGGCAGGGCGAACATCACAATAACCGTCAGAAGCACCGGCGATGCGCCACCTATCTGCCTAGATTGGATAAATTAATTGATTGTTAGATGTGGATGAAAATAATATCTTTAAACCGTTTGCAAATGTATTCTTTAGACTGTCTGCATCGCATGTTGTCAATCGACAACAAAAATAGTATATTATGAATTTCAGCATTGTAAACTTACTTAGTATTCAGCACATCCGCCCAGCCCTTCATGAAGCCTGGTCTTTGAAAGAACAGCAACAGAATCATGAATACGAAGACGACGCCTACTTGTATTTCATGGCAAGTCCAACGACCCAATGCAGAGTAACGCTCCTGGAGCACCAACTTTGTGGCAGCCTTACTTATTGAGCCACGTTTTACTTGCTTAGCCACATCACTCTTCGGTCGCCACAGACCCATGTGAGTTATTTGCAGCGTTAAAAACACAAGAAGTACATTTAGAATTGAGACAAACGGCATAGAATACATTATGAATTTTGGAAAGTCGACTTTTTCCTTGAGATTCGGAAAACGACTGTGGAAAAATGATTCACTTAAGAAACATAAGCCGGATCAATTGCAATTGCAATATTGCTTACGTTTCATATAGACCCTTAAAGGTCAGATTTGTGCCGGTGCCAATTAGCGTGCCAGTACCTCCAATGGTGGAGGAATATGCGACACCGAAATAGAATGCCATCGATACCTTTGACAGATGCGGCGGACTAATCAAGAGAATTAAGATGTAAGCAATGCTGCGCTATTCATATGAATCTAAATATGTAAATTACTCACTCGCCCTCTTCCATCCTCTCCTCCTCTTGTGTCATATACACTTGAAATGCGTTTTGCTACATCAAACATGAAATATGAGTAGAGTGATCAGATGGCTATGGGATTACGTGATTTGTGGCTTACAGCATCCATTTCAATGAGAATAGCCTTAACAATGGGACACATCATGGCCGTAGCAGCAGAGTTGGATATCCAAAATGATATAAAACATGAGACCATGCTAAGTCCGAAGTGTAAACTGTGTAAAAGGAATACAAGGAATATCTATACTACTTCCCGCTCTGAATCGATAACAATTCTTACCGCCGAGGACTGCAGCCCACCACGAGGATAGTGCCCAACGCAATGCGCTGATGGAGATTGCTATATTCAACGCCTAGTGCTACAAAGAGGCCGCCCAGAAACATGATTAAAGTATCAGTAAAAAACAATTGGCATACAGCATTTGAATCCTAGGAAGAGCAATTATATCGTTTCCATTGAGCATTAACGAATTGGTTGGCACTCACCAATATGCCGAATAGTGGCAAAAATACTACCGGAAGCATTGCTGTCAAATACAGGGGGATACATTCAGTTACCCAGAAGATTGCCATATTCACTACCAGATACAAGCACCTGAACGCCTTTATAATAATGTTGGATGAAAATGAAAGTCTTGGGGTTGATCACGATGGGATCTACTTACTGGAGCGTTTTTTTTATAGGCAAAAACAAGGATGGGCAGCGTGATCAATGGCACGATAACGGTCACCTTGCCCCTCCAATGGAATTTGCAACATGATTTAACACTCTGACTGGCGGAAATTTTATTTTCGCTGCATGTGAAGCAAATGCAGTTTAAATAATTGCAAACATTTCATTGTACTCATACTTACTCAGCCATTACAATTTTTTTTTTTGCTATTTTTAATATTTTCTTTCCAAAACTGATTTCACTAATAGTTGATTAAAAGAATGACTAAAACACAGCTTGATTTTAATGAAGCTAACGACAAAGCCAACTTTAAGTTAAGCCAACGAACACAACAAACCAATCAGCAAGCTGACCCACGTAATGTTATACCATCCCATATGCTAATTAGGGCCAACCAATCGAACCCCGCGAGCTGATGTCACTTGCAGCGCCGCTTTGATGTTAAATAATTGACAATTTCCTTTCACACTCCCAACTCAAAATGAACAAAAGGTAAATTGAAATTAAAGCTCAGAACACGCATTAAAGCGAAAGTCGAGATATTTGTTGGGCTGTGGGTTTCTATGGAATGTTGGAGTGGCAGCAAAGTAATCCAGGTTGAGTCTCCATCTGCACAGCATGGGGATCTGTATGCATACATATATACATACATGTATATACATTTTTATGTGTGTCTGCTTGCTGGCATAAAGCTTCAATCAGAAAAAATCACGCTGAGTATTTCTGCAAATTCCTTAATGCTGGGCATAAAATCCCCCCAGAGACTCCTTCTGTTCCATCTGTTCTTTCCCACCAAAAAATAAATATATTGTTCTGACAGATATCAGAATCATTCATAATAATTATAATAATAATAATACTAATTCAAATAACTTTATTGGCAGAAAACAACGAGTGAAACTTAATACGAATTTGGAGCCGACTCGTTGCCTCAGTCTCCTTCCTCACTTTTCTCGTTCACTCGCCAATCTCAATAATTTATGCTTTGCTCGCTTGGGGTATTTGTATGCCAGTTCTCATTTAGTTTTCAATTTTGTTCTTTTTTCGGGGTTTGCTTACGACACTTGGTATTTCCATTTCTTTTTATTTTGTCTATTTCACAGCTTTACAATTTGACAGCTAAAACTTTTTATTTTTTTTCGCTGGACATTCTGGGAATTTTTTCATATATCCTTGTTGGTAGGCATTTGCGTGTTAGTTGGGCGAACTTTTTAGAATGCTTTTACATGTTTTTTTTTTTTTTTTTTTTTTTAACCATGTCAGAAATTGGCTTTAATATATTCCATAAACTAAAAACGTGAACAAACCTCTCGATTTAGTTATAAATACATACATATATATTAATATGTGCTCCTCTCTTTACGTTTCACCTGAGCATATTCATTTTAATTTGAAATTCATATTTGTTTTAATTATGTTTTCAGTTGACTTGTCTTTGCAAGAAACCATGGGCAACATTTTAAGTCAAACTTTCCGTAATTTCTGAATTGTAATTTAGACAAGACTTTTCCAGACGTTCATTATGCATTCATTTATGCTATATATTTTTAGCTATAGCTGTACCTATATCTATGGCTGCAGTTTGCAACAGTCTACCCTCACTTATTATTCTTTGTATTTATATACAATATAATTAATTCATAGTCTAAGCAGAACAGCTGCATACCACAGAGCGAGAGAAAGCATTGCCTACATCTAGGGGCTGTAGGAAAAATTCCTTGAACTTATTTAAAGGACACTGGGCCATTAGGCATGCCACTTGACTTCTATTTATTAGGCCATATAGTCATCAGATCGTTAAAAGCCGACTTGAGTTCAACTAACTGAAGTAATTTAAGGCACCTAATTAACAGATCCAACGCGACGCAACGGTTGCTTGGCCAACAACAATCAAGATTTTAATTTGCCCCAATATTCAGTTGCAAGTGGGTAAAGAGGGACACGAGGCGATGACGGTTCAAGCTTCATCGATTATGTGTTAAATTACGCAGAGAGCAAACATCTTGGTTAAATGGAGCGCACAAAAAAGGCCGCCATTTGCCAAATAGACGATGCCATAGAAAATATCGACGCATATATGTTTATATTGCATGATGTTTATTTAGCTAATAACATTGAATATAAGTTAAGCGAATTCCATCAACAGTTGCCTGAACTTTTGCTTGAATATTTCAATAGAAAAAATATTCAGTTTGTGAAACGTTTTTAAGCTGGAAAGCTATAAAATTAAATTTAAAAGAAAATTTCGCTCATTTTATACACATAAAATTTTTCCATAAAATTAAATTCAAACAAATTTCTTGTTTATTTTACATTACATTACAAACATTCGGTTTTTTTTTTTTTTTTTTTTTTTTTTTTTTTTTTTTTATTTTTTTATTGCAGCTTTTGTCTTAAACTCAATAGCGCATTTAAAAAAAGTTTGTTTTATTAACATGAAATTTTTTTCTATAAAATTAAATTAATTCGATTTAATTGTTTCAAGTAAATAACATATGTATGTTGTAAAAACGATAACAAAACATTTATATATCATTATTTTTAATTTTTTTATTTTTAATAAATAATAATATATGAAATGTGGAATATCTTTTAACAAATAATATTTCAGAGATAAACTCATTTAATCGATTATGACAATTTGTTGACAGAACAATAATTCCATTAATAATTTATGATAATATGTTATATATTATTCATGAGTTGTTTTTATTTTTTTCGGATGTTTCTGCTGTTGATAGAGACATTAATAATCCATGCACAAATCGTAAAACTTTGATAAATCTCCTGCAATAAAAGCAAAATTGCGAATCCAAATTTAATTTAATATTTTATGTCCTTGCATTTTTTTTTATTTATCTGTGTTATTTATCTGAAATGTGGGTACCTACATTTATGCTTGGCCATTATTTATAAGAATGCATTTGTCAGGATATGCGAAAATACATACATATATACATATATATTTCTTTTTTTTTTGTTTGATGTAGCTGATGTTGAATATGCATGAGACCTAACAAGCCGAAATGTTTATTGACATAAAAGCCCTAAAGCTCTCCTGCTCCGCGAAACACACAGCTAGCAAAAACAACGAGTATAATAACAACAACAACACTAACAGCAGATGTTGACCAATTTGTCAAAGCCATCACGAAATGTTAATCCCTCTATCTTCTTTTCTTATCTTGAATCTATGCAGGTCACTCGTACAAGAGCATCAACGACGAAATCATACTGGTCAGCATTATAATGGGCATTACGATAATCGTTCTGATCACGATTGCCCTGTGCTACATTGCGTATGAGAAATGCCACAAGAAGCGTGAATATTTTATCAACGCCTAACGGGTGCACATCGCAAAACAAACAAAAAACATATAAAACCAAAGCTAAAAATGAAACAAGAGGAAACGACACACAAAGGGGTAAATGGCAAGGTCAAATGTCAACAGGACAGCCGTGGCAGGAACTGCTGTTACTGCTGTTACTGCTGCAACTGCAACAATGTTGACGCTCACGCTTAAGTTGGTAAACGCGTACGACAGAGCCGAAGGCGAAGGCGAGCAGCCGGCAGAATTAAAGAACACAAACTCACACACACACACATTTCCGCACACTCACGTACTGTTAAGATTAGTGTATACATGTCTATTGGGTGTAGCATTTGGGATATTCATTCGATTTTCTTCGATTTCAAGTGCTCCCAAATTTGGGTAAAATATAGTATATAGCTTGCAATATACACAGTGGTTGAAAAATTTTATAATAATGTTTAATACGAAAACTATAAATGTTCATTTAATTATTTACAATAAATTCTTTTTTAATTAAAAAAACATTTTTTTTTAATTTTATTCCTTTTTTGATTTGATAAACTTTAAATTATTTTAAAATATTAGTATATGTTTATTATTTTCTTAAAAAGTTTAATTTATATTTCATAAAATAAATGAATATTGCAAGCTATAAATGTTTATAAAAGCCTAAAACATCCACTTTTATCAAATTTTCGAATCTATCAAATATGTTTCGATATATACAAATGAAGACCAAGTTCTTTTTCTTACCTGACTCTCTCTCTCTCTCTCTCTCTCTCTCTCTCTCTCTTTCTAAATAGTTTTGTAAAGTGAAGGTCCAAAATCGTAGATTTCAGTTCAGGTTTCCATTTGCTGCATAGTAGAAATAAAATTAGAATTAGCGATGCAAATTAATTCGTTGCAAAATATGCACATATTAAAATATACTTATAGTTATATACTGTAAAATACTAAATTGAGCTTTATGTACAATTATATACCTATAAACATATATCTACACTACACAACCAATTCGTGCAACATAAAATGGTAGCAATCGATAGAGTTTGAAGTGCATCTACTTTTTATTTTAATTAAACGCAGCGCGATTCGGTTTAATTTAAAGTCGTATTAAAATGGAAATGCAGCAATCCTTTTATTTTATTATTTTATTATTTTTTTGTGAAGGTAACACCCTCTCTCGATATATGTATAGCTGATGCAGATGCCAATTTCAGCTATTGACTGCGGGGGAGCAGTTACCCAGTCAAAGGAAAACAGACAAACAGACAAGCAGACAGACAGTCAGACAGACGAACAGACAGACAGAAGGACAGAGAAAAAGCCAAAAAAAAAAGGAAAGTAAAAATGAACTGAGTGAAGTGAGTTTTCTTATTTTCTCGTTTTTCCTTGCCCTTTTTCGGTGGCTCGAGGCTATAATAATAAAAACAGTAACGGAAACTGGATGCAATGCACACGAACAAAGCGCCAGGAAACAATGAAAAGAAGCGTCGCATAACAATTGTCTGAAAATAAAACGGGAACCGAAATTAGGAGTAGAGACGATGGGATGCTAACGCGGATAGCTTCAATGGCCAAATCAACTTGAAATTAAATTAGTGGGAATGGTGCACATAAAAGGTTGTTTTTTGACCACAATGAACATCAACTGAGGTTCCGACCTATTGAATATAAATGTCGGCTCTAACAGCTAACGCCAAAACACCTACACGCTGTCCAACTTTCCCACCCACACGCACACACAGATAGAAACACTCTCGCTGCCATGTAGGGACTAAATGTTAATCAGCTTAGCTGGCATGCATGCAATGTATCTTTATTTTTAGGCCCGATAAACAGGTTTGTGTACCTAAGAGCACGAAACACAAAGAAGAAGCTGTTACCAGGAAAAAAGCATAACAAAGTCTCATACAAACGCGCCAGGCAACGGGCGTTATCCTGTCGCATGCCCTTAAAAATTAAACACCTGATTAATGGCAACGTTTGCTTAACCAAATAATATCGAGCCTAACAAATTGCCGTAACCTAATGGGAACACATCAATTCTTTCTCCTAGCCATTGACGTAGTCCATTAGGACATACCAAAATTTGGCCACATGTGTGTACTTACGAGCAGGTAAATTTCAAATGGAGATAAAAAATTTTATAGACAAATTAAATCATGAATGACTCCCTGTTTCCATAATTTCATTCTTTCTGTTTTATATCCTTTGTCGAAGATAAGCTGTTGATACTTAAATTTCCGCGCGTAAAAGTAGGCAGCCGAAATTATGGTTTGCCCGACGATATTGGATAAAATTCAAATTCATTTCCTCCAAGAAACCATTTAAGCTTACAGTTTGATAGTGGAGCATTAAAAGGCAACAAATTCGAAATGCGACTCTTAATCAACAAAAGCATCATAAACTTGGACAGAGGGGCACTTAAATAATGCGACCTAAATAAGTAGAGCATAACACAAATTGTAGCGCCCTTTAATGTGGTGTAAAAGTCAACGCAAAGAACTTCACTAATTACCCGCTAAAGAAGAAAATCCAGCATAAAGCTTATATACACACACATGCAACTACTTAAGCAACAACAATTTTATGTTAGTCATAAGAAGCGGAAGCAGATTGGTTGAGCACGCGAAAGCAGAAATAATAGGATATAGCGTGTCAGGATATGTCGTGTCAGGGGAATGCATTCATAATAATTTTATCCGAATGAAATTTTAGTAAAGCTGCGTCCAAAACGAATGACTTGTGCAATTTGAAATGGACCACGCACAAGCACCTAGTCACACACGGATAGATCCATACTTGCACATATATATACACACACAAACACATATGGTGTTGCAGCTCTATAAACGTTCTTAGACACAAGTAGTAAACTTTACGTCCAATTTGATAGCTTTTTTAGTGCTGTTGTCACACTAATTGCCACCAAAATATAAAAGTATTAAAATTACCGAATTACTTTACTGTCGTTGAAATACGTGTGTTTTCTATGCATTTAATCTATTGAACAAAAATCTATATACCTACATACATAATATAATATATACCCGAATTAATGTGACCATTACTAATATATTTATATATTTATTGTACGAGTAGTTTAATTAGAATGCAGCGCACTCTTTTTTCATGAAAAGAGGGACCAAACCATACAACAAACACTGAAAAAACGTGTACTTTATTTTGAAAAGTGAGATCTATAAATGTTAAAAACAACTACTCTTAAATGTTATATACTTATATATATGAATTGTAGCGAATTTGTTAAATTTAAATGATATATGCGATATTATAATGTACAACACAATAAAGATCTGTTTATGCATGGTTAATGTTACTGTGACTTTTATTCATGGCCATAAACAACTTAAATTGAAAGTGGCGCGCAACTGTGTTGAACAACGAATTATTATGGTCTTCTTAAGAGCATGATATCGATAGACTTATAGCATTCAATTAGAGTGCAGAATGAATCCAATAAGTGCTGCTAGAATTGGATATTAGCTTTTGTCCCATTAAATTTATAGGTAAATTGGTAAGCATCTTATTATTAATACGGTAACTAACCGTTTGAGAAGTTTTTAATTTCATTTAAGACTGATTAACGATTATTAGAATTCATATTTCCCTGAAACTAACAGTAAAGAGTATGTTAATGTTGTGCCGCTGTTATGTTAACAACATATCTGTTTGGCAACAACAACAAAATGTAAAAAGACGGAACTTGTTGCAAAAGTCGCCAAAAATTGTTTAAAAACTAAGGAGGGCACTCAACAAGCAAACAACATACGCTGGTGCAGGGGTTAGCAGAGGCTTAACAACTAAATGCGCATTAAAATGGATTGTGAAGTGCCTGAGCAACAAAAACAGCAACAGTACCAACACCAACAACAACAGCAGCAGCAGCAACAACAACAAAGCGCCAACAAGTTGTATGCGAGAAAGCCAAAGACGTCGCAGCAGCAGCAGCAGCAACAACAGGAAAGCAGCGACGACGATGACTTGAGCAACGCGGAACGTAAGAATCTGGAATTTGCACAAAAATTAGGCTATAGCGAGCAGTCAATACACACGGCGTTAACGCGTCTCGGTTCAGAGGCTAAACAAAATGAGCTGCTGGCGGAACTTATCAAACTAACAGCAGATGCGCCGCGGCCAATAGTCCCCAACAGCAGCAGCAACAGCAATAACAACAGTCATGTGTCACCACCCGCTAGCAGCAGCAGCAGTAGCAGCAGCAGTGGATCGCTACGCCATATCGTCATCGATGGTAGCAATGTGGCCCTGTCACATGGTAATCACACCATCTTCAGCTGTCGCGGCATACGCATCTGTGTGGACTGGTTCAGACAGCGTGGCCATCGTCATATCACAGCATTTGTGCCCAACTGGCGCAAGGAGCTGGCCAACAACAATATAACCGATCAGGAGCTGCTCTATGAGCTGGAACAAGAAAGAGTGTTGGTGTTTACGCCATCGCGGCATCTGGATGGCAAACGTGTTTCCTGCTATGATGATCGTTTCATACTCAAGCTGGCGGTGGAAACAGATGGTATTGTGGTGTCCAATGATAACTATCGCGATTTGTTGCTGGAGAGCAACGAGTTCCGGCGTGTCATCCAGGAACGTCTGCTGATGTACTCCTTTGTGGACGACATCTTTATGCCGCCCGATGATCCACTAGGTCGCTCCGGGCCTAATCTGGATATGTTCTTGCGCACACCGAGCCAGCAGAAAATAATGGACGCACAGCAACAATTGTGTCCGTACGGTAAGAAATGTACATACGGACAGAAGTGCAAATTTCGTCATACGACGCAGCCTCAGCGTCTGCCGCTCCAGGTCTCGCACAGTGCTCCACTGCACAGCAACGGTGGACAGCAGCTACTGTCTTCCGGTTGCAGTAGCAACAATAATGCAAAGATCGCGGCGCTGGCCCGCACCAAATCGAATACAGTTGACAAAATCTCACAGCAGCAGCAACAGCAACAGCTTTGTCATTCTTTCAATCAGCTGGACCTGGGCAGTAATAGCTGCGACGTGGAACCGGCGCAGCTGCAGAACCGCCACAAGAAGCTGCAAAGGCAGGCGCCGTCCCCTTCCTTTCGGTTGCTGGTTCCCACATACAGCGCGCCACATCAGCAGCAGCAGCAGCTAGGCAATAACAATAATAATATCAATGGCAATTATCAACATCAGTATCTGACTCGCACACCGTCCGAGCCCTTGACGGATCAACATCAGGCCACCAAGCTATCCATTCCTGCCCACAATCTAGCCCATTTGTCAGCCTCCGACTCACGCATCAACGAGGAGTTGCACCACACAAAACGCGAGGAGCAGCGCAATATGCTACGCTATCACTTGAACAGCCTATTCCCGCAACATCAGGTGCATGCTGTGCTACAGCTATACCCTGATGAGACCGATGCAAAGACAATCTGTGCAGCAATACTTAATTTATTTCCGCATAATTAGGCTAAATCTTAGGCTAGACGCAATCTTCACAATTAAGCAGCGTTCGTAAATTATTTCCAAGTACTTGTTACAGTTTAAAGTTTTATAATCAATTACGTACTGTAATTCATATATATATATATGCATTTATATATAACAATTTGTTATAATTTTATACATATACTTATATACATAYATCTATATGTTTAATATGTGTTAGCATTTACAGCTCCAAGCCAGTCTTGGCCCCCGTATATATGGGATACAATTCATCCACATTGGCATTGACGCCGCCACCCCGGCGATCGTGCGTAATTCTATGATTGCGCAGTTTATAAGCCTGGTGAAAGCCTTTGCCGCAAATCTCGCAACTGTCAAGGGATGCAAAATGCATTAAAACAAATGTGTGGCGTGCTAATGATCCAACTTACACATGTGGTTTCTCGCCGGTGTGAATCATCTTATGGAATTTCAGCGTATTCGTGTAAGTGAATGTCTTGTGGCACACATCACACTCATATGGACGCTCGTTTGTGTGTATGCTACTCAAATTGAAATGAAATATGTGTATATTTTCATATGTATATGCGTATATTTTCGTAAAACGATACTTACCGATGATGCTTGTTACGTGTAGAGAGATCCGCAAAGGCGGCCGGGCAATAGGTGCACTTGTACGGCCGATTGCCCGTGTGCGTGTTCATGTGTCGTGCCAGCTGCTGGGCCTGGGCAAAGCAATGACCGCAGATTCTAGAAGCGAAGAAGAAGAAGTATATATGTATATTGATGTATCAAAACGAAAGCTATTTTTTGTGATACTCACTCGCATTCGTGTGGCTTGACTCCAGAATGCACTTTGATGTGCTCTGTGAGACGACTCTGCGATGGATACATATTTCCACAAATATCGCATATGTATTTAAATTCCTTTTTATCGCCCACAAGAATCTTGTGACCACCTTTGGTCTTAATGCCTGTTGCCTTGCGCACTATTGTCTCCCCAAAGGTTATGCTCTCGTCGGGATTCAATATGATGTTGGTTGTGGTCACGCTACATTTCTCACGTTTTATATTCCCTAATGCCGCTTTACTTGTTGCGGCTTTTCGCGGGTTTGCACGTCGTTTGATACCGGCAGTGGAGGAGCGTGTCGACATCGTACGTGATTTCACTGGCAGAAACTCCTCGTCAGATGAGTTTTGAACCTCTATTTCATCTTCATGTGCGCTTTCTGTTAACTGATCCTGATCCTGATCCAGTTGCTCCAGATACTCTATATCGGCCGACAGACCGGATATTGACTGTGTGCCCACATCCTCATCACCTTCTTCAGCATTACCCTCCTCATAGGCCGGCTGTTCAGTGACTAAATCACCGTCGTATGCCTCATATACATCATATAGCTCTTCTATAATACCATCCTCCTCCACCTGTTCGCTTTTTACATGAACCAGCCTTTCCTTGACCTCCACGTGGTCATCGTTGATCTCCTCATTGCCTGCCAGCACCTGTCCCTCACTCAGCTCTATCCCCGACGGCTCATTGCTAGCACTGAGCCCATTACCATCTTCTTCGACCGACTGTTCCACTACAACAGGCGCTATGAATTGCCTTAGATGTTTGTAAGACCGCTGGCAAACTCGACGAAACTTATATGCAATGTGTAAATTCTTTAAGCACTTTTCGCATATCTTGTCTGGATAGTGATCGAATTTCTTTATCTGAAAACAATTCAAATCATTTTCAAAATTCCACTCATTGAAATTATTTATTCAAAGTTTCGTTTTTTAGTCAATCTTACTGGTACGCCGCCGCATTCTAGTATCATGTTCGTCAAATCTTTGGATGCGTCGTCATTGAAAATGCTGCCCATCGCTTCTTTTGGTTGCTGCAAGCACACTCGGCATACTATCCACTTTTGTGTTGTTGCAGTCGTTGTCGTTGGCATCATTTAAAATTGTACTACCTCAAGGAATGCACAAATTATCCAATTACTTCTAGACGACGCCAAAAAAAAAAATGTTAAAAATATATTAAAGGCAAAAATCCAAGCTGTTCCCGCTGTTGTGTGAATGTCAGTTATTAAGGTGACCGTAGCAATCATGCATGTGGTATTTTTCTGTACTTATATTAAGTAAATACACATTTTATTAAATATTTATTTTTAAAAAGTATATATATTTATTTTTAACTGATATTTTAATGCTATCATTAAAATAAATAGCATAATTCAATGGCTTAAAATAGTATATACTCAATTTAAAATACTAAATACTATAGGTCGTGTACGCGTTCGAAAGTGAATGACAAGCATAGCAAGGGACGCTTGCATTATTGTTATAATTTGGCCAAAACAAAATATTTATTTATAATTCGTATGTTTTGCAACAATTAAATACAGAAGTTATGAAAACTGAATTAAATGAAAAATGGATTGTATGTCGGGTGTGCCTGAGCAATCCCAACGACAGCGAAGATCTATTGGTGGACATATTCAGTCAAAATGCCAGCACCCGCCTTGATCAAATGCTCCACATCTGTGCTGGAATCCCTGTACGTGCTATAATAATCAAATAATAGCTCCAGCACTCTTATAAACACAACTGTATTGCAGGTCAGCATCGATGACAACTTTCCAGACAAGATGTGCAGCAAATGTGTACGAGTACTGCGCATAGCTTACAAATTCCGTCTGACTTGTCAGCGGTCGCATCAACATATCGCGGATATGCTTTCCACGGAATTAGACACCAGTGGAGGCAACGATTACGAGGAAGATGAGGCCATAGCGCATGCTTGGGAGGAGCAGACACAAATCAAAATCGAAGGCGAAGTCGAAGAAGCGAGCGGTGAATTCATAAATTATGTAGTTTCAGCAGTCGACGCTGAGGACGACGGGGATGAGGATGCCATTGTTTATGATGCCACCAACACTGAGGAAGAACAGAATGCCGTTGTATACGATGACGCAACAGTTGTTGAAGTAGCAGAGGCAGAAATCGAGACGGAAACTGAAGTCGAAAACTTCGCAGACTATGAGGAACTGGAAGTTCTGGCCACCGAATCGCTGCCCCCAAGTAGCAATGAAATACAAACAAAAGTAGCCACTCAGCGCATTGTGTGGGCCGACGTGGCCGATGATGATATGAAGCATGATATTTTAAGCTCCGACGATGAACATAATGTGCCCGATACTAAGGCGGAACCACGTCTGCTAAATCGTGTGCGACAGCCGCGGAAAGTGCAACTGCGACCGAAGACTTCGGCAGGCTCTTTAGACGCTGTGCAGGAGGAGAAGAAAATGGGACGCAAACCGCGCGACAAACATTCCAATTATATTTGCGATGTTTGTGGGAACATTTATCCTTCACAGGCGCGCCTCACCGAGCACATGAAATTCCACAGCGGAGTCAAGCCGCACGAGTGCGAGTAGGTTTGATCCATGCCATAAAAACGAAAACCGTAATTAATAATCCTTCATTTACTGTGCAGGATCTGTGGTCGTGGATTCGTCCAGAACCAGCAACTGGTGCGACATATGAACACACACACTGGCAATCGACCTTACAAGTGCGATTTCTGCCCAGCGGCCTTCGCTGATCGTTCCACAAAGACAAAACATCATCGGTAAGTACTCTGGAATCTATTTTAAAAATAATCGAATTAGTATTTATGTATATGCCACAGCATACATACAAAGGAGCGCCCATATGAATGCGATGTCTGCCTTAAAACATTTACATATTCGGACAATTTGAAATTTCACAAGATGATACACACAGGTGAAAAGCCGCACGTGTAAGTTTTAGTTCAGCAATCCAAATAAAATTGTAACTAACAATTTTTTTTGTTCTTGCAGTTGTGATCTGTGTGGCAAAGGATTTGTCAAAGCCTATAAAATGCGATTGCATCGTGTGACGCACGAGAAACGAGGACCCTGGAAACCTGTTGAGTTGGACTTGGAGGCGCAAGAACGCATTAAAGATAATGTGTCCGAGATGGTGATTGGCATATTGCCATCGGCTTAGGCCTTGTATAAATCATAATTGTAAACTTATATTTTATTAATTATTATTTAATAAGTTGTGTGCTAATTGTTTCACTTGTGCTCCTTATATGGAGCCGGGATGATTGGACCCAAAACGAAAACAAAGCCAAACTTTTATTGTAACATCAATTATAAAAACGTTTTTCATGATATTTGAAATGTTGATTTGGAAAATTTTAACTAGTTTGCGACGATAACTTTTGAGAGGGAAATATCGTATTATAATTTATATATTTATTGACTGTATTGTAAACGTTACTTATATGCTTATTTTACCGTTGTACTAAAAAGTGCCTGCTTAAACTGTAGCCGCAATGGAAATTACTCCTCTTCCATTGTAATCACTGCAATGTCCAGTTCCTTGTTCGCTCTGTGCGAACGTTCATGTGTGTTTTTATGGTGTGCCTGGGAAAATCGTCGAGCACAGTATTGGCAGCTAAAGGGTCGCTCTCCTGTATGAGTTTTGAGATGGACATTCAACACATTGGAGTAGGCAAAGGACTTTGGGCAGTATTTACACTTATACGGTCGTTCATTAGTGTGGATGCTAAATAGAAACAATTATAGAAAAAATATAATATGATTTAAAGCGTTGCGCATTACCGTTGGTGCTTAATACGTGTGGAAGGATCTGCAAACGAAGCGTCACAGTAATCGCATTTGTATGGACGTAAGCCAGTGTGGGAGTTCATATGCCGGGCCAGCTGTGGCGTCTGACGGAAACGCTTCTGGCAGATTCTACAATATTAAAGTGCAATTAAAAGTTTCAATTTAAACATTAAAACTATTAAGCTTACTCGCACTCATGCGGTTTGTGCACACTGTGTAGTTTTAAATGTGTTGTTAACTTCACTTTCTCTGTGTATACATTGTTGCAGATATTACACACATAAGTGACGCCCAGAGGTTTGGAAGCCTCTGGGTAACATGTAGGTGGCATCCCTGCGATAGTGCGATTACGGCGGATTGGCCTGTGTGCTTTTATATTGGCCCGTGCTGGTGTCGCAGGCTTTATTGTGATCACTTCTGTACTGTCCTGGCTGCCTGCAATACTGGCTGTTTCCAGTGTCACCTCGTATGAATCGATAAAGTCCGATGGTGTTTCGTTCCCACTGTCCAACTGCAGCCGCTGTTGTTCCTGTTCGTGTTTCACCTTTTGCAGTTGCTCCTCTGCCTGCTGACACATGCTACGCAGCTTCAAAGCAGCTCGAAGTAGCAGGGCACAGCTTGTGCATATTTTATTTGGCATGCGATCATCTTGTGTTAGCTGCAATATAAGACAAACCTATTGCAATTGGCTCTTTGACTATAACTGAATTTCACTGCTCACCAGCACGCCTGTGCATTGTTTAATTTGTGCAACAAAATTCGATTCCGTAGCCATAAGCGTCTCAGCTTTTGGATGTAGCAAACAAATCCTACAAAGAGGCTCCGTGCAGTCCATGTTGTTCAACAGAAGTATTGTGGTCAATTAGGGCTGTTGTATTCATAGCAGTATATCGATAAATACCTGTATGTTATCGACATTCATAATTTCTGCAATATCGTAAAGCGATGATTTTCCAACGGAGTCAAAGAAAATGGTATAAAAATTACCCATCAGAGTGGGTGCTACTTAAAAATATGTTAAAACATTCGACTAGGAAATATAAGAGCTTATAAATAAAACTATCTCCAATTGGTATTTATACAGAATCGAATATTTTACGCGCATGGCTCGATATTTAGCTGCCGATGACGATAATTTTAATGTGGTACAACAAATACATATGATGCATTTCAAAACAATAATACTATACAGTCAAGTGAAATCACATTGATATGGCAGGAAATGATTTGTTAATGGACATTGAAGCCGTATGTCGAGTTTGCTTACAGGATAGTGATACACATATGGTATCCATTTACGAGCGAGACGAGGGACAACGCGGACTATCCATTTGCGAGAAAATTGAAAATTGCAGTGGCATAAAAGTAATTCATTGATACAATTACTACAACAATGATTTATTGAGTTTTAATTTTTAGATTGTGCGCACTCCTGAGCTACCATCTCGCATCTGCTTGAAATGTCGCGCCTTTTTAACGCTGGCACACAAATTTCGACAGATTTGCCGCCACTCAGATAGTTTCCTGCGTGAATACATTTGGAAAGATGTGAGAGTGGTGGACGCAGTGCACCAGGTGATAGAAACACCATCCACACAGACATACGAGGATGTGGAAGTTGAGGTACTGGAAGAAGGTATTTGGTGCAATGATGAAATAATTGTGGAACCTCCTGCTGCTCAAGATGAAGCAAATATCATACTGGTGCCAACTGAAGATGTGGTAACCACGCCTGTTGCTGCATCCAAATCACATGTGTGTAACGTTTGTGGTAATAGCTATCCACGCAAGAGCACGCTGGACACGCACATGCGACGCCACAACAATGACCGACCATATGAATGCGAGTGAGTTGATGTACATGAAACCTTTAACGCAAATGCTTTATTAAAAGCCGTCTTTATTTCTGGTAAGAGTCTGCAAAAAGTCTTTTCACGTAAACTACCAGCTAATGCGCCATATACGCCAGCACACAGGCGCCCGACCGTATAGTTGCGAATACTGTCAGCGCAGCTTCACGGATCGTACGTCTTTGGTCAAGCATGAACGGTAGGTGACCATGCTGAACATATATGTGTCATCTAAAGTGTCTACTTTACTTATAGCACCCATCGCAATGAACGACCCTATTCATGCGACTTGTGTGGAAAGTCTTTCACATATGCCAATGTGCTCAAGGTGCACTACAAAACGCATACCGGAGAGAAGCCACATCTGTGCAGACTATGTAACAAAAGCTTTGCACGCAATCACAATCTGGTTGCCCACTTACAGACACAACAGCATATCAACGATCCCCGTGCCGCGGCCTATTTACAAACTCTCAAAGCCATCACCAATGTAGCTGCAGAAAATGGCTGAGAGGTGTTAGAAGTGTGCAATTTAAAAAAAATTGGAAAAGCTGGATAGCATTTGAGAGCGAAGATGAAAAGCCCTAAAATATTTCTCTTACAGTAATTAGTATGAGCAGTAGTAGTAGAAGCTATATTTCGACTCATTGGTTGTGAATATATTGGACTATACTAAATAAGTGGCCTCCTCTGTGGAACATCAGAATATGTTTATGTTAGTCGTATTTAAAAGGATGTAAATTTACATGATTTAATCTTCATTTATTTCAACCTATGTAGCGCTCTCGGTCTCCTTGTTAACCAAGAACGTTACAAGATTACAACGTCTTATCTGTTGTACAAAAATGCCGAAAATATGTAATTCAAAAAGTGCACAATAATCTAATTTGATTGGTGATTGTAAGTAGGTGACAGAGTGGAGCTAGGATTAGCGAACGTGGCATATATAAATTGCCTTTAAAATATTAAATAACAAACTGAGTTGGGCTGTATCAGATGATTGAAATGATTTATAGCAGTTGGGAAGATAAACGAAGACTTTGCACAGCAAAGTCAGTTGTTTGTGAAACCTATTTGCCAACCATGCGTATTTTGTCTTTTAGCAGATTGCGCAACTCGGTGATCATCAGTTCATGGGACTCCTTAAATGTGGCGGAAACGTCGCCAATTAACGTGGCCTCCACTTCCGGTTTAAGTGACATATCGGCCATGAATGAGCTAAGTTCACGTGGCAGAGTAGGCGGTTTCCATATGCCTGCAGGAAAACGTTTTCAGTTCGATATGCTATGTTGTAATGATGCATTCGTCAACTTACGTATGGCTGCATCACAGGCCTCCAATTTATGCTTCAATTGACGCATTAGCTCTTGGAGCATTTGACTACGCTCTTTCTCACTAATCGGCTCCTGTGTTTTGTTATCACCCGATGTTTTTTTTTTTGCTTTTGTCTTTGCACTGCATTGCAGCTTGTCATTCAGCACCGATAATAGGAAGGCATAAAGTGAAAGTATCTGCGAATTTATATAAAATTTGAGATAAGTCAAGTTATTTGAAAATAAGTTAACGAATATGCTTACCTCCAAGCTGGCCGCCACCTTTTGCTGGTGCTCGCGACGCTTCCATAGACCATCCATGCCATTCCACTCATTGCTCTCCGTTATTGTCTGCACGCACAGCTCCATAACAGAAACCACATTCTCGCTAACCTTTTTGCACTGCAGTGCCAGTTGCGATGCTCCGCTGTACAAATCCATCACCAGCTGCGCTAAGTCATCGAAGAAACTCTCATAAGGCAGCTTGAGCAGTAAATGAAGACGCGTCGGCAGCAAATTGACTAGAAAATTTTGCGATAGCGGTTTATAGTTCATCAGCCGAAGACGCTGGAAGAGGCCTGTCCATGATGTGCGTAATAGCTCCACTGTAGCTATGTCGTCGCCCGGTGTTGGAGTTCTCGTCTTATCATTTGACATGGCCACTTTGGCACCTTGTGGTGCATGATAAAGGTCAATGAATGAGGCGAATAAGCGAAGAAGTAGTGAGCGAATTTGCAGCACCTCAATCTCCTGCTCAAATGATTCCTTTCGCTCAGCTTCCGTATCATCTACATGCAAGGGATCCCAGCGAATAATGGCCTGTAAGTCTCGATTATCGCTTAGCTCGTTCCACGAAATACGATCGTCAGCGGGTTCTATGCTCATTGCCACATAGGCTGACAGATTTTGTTGAATGCTTCCATAAAAGCAAACTATATCGCACAGTTGCGCCTCCACCGAGCAGGCCACATACATTAAACTATTTGTCAGGCGTTCCTTAAAGTTCATAAATTCCTCCATCTTCGAGAATGTACAGAAGCGATAAGTTAACGAAATATATTCCAAACGCTCCTTATAGCTATTTGTGAAGAACTTCAATGTGGTATCGTAGCAATTACGAACGCCCGAAAAGCGACCGGAAAGGGGCAAAAGATTACAGTGCACATAACCCATTGAGTCCAGCTGAATTTGTTTGATGTCTAAATAGTCATACATTTCCTGAGCACCGACCATACACCCAAACATGTGATAGATTTTCAAGCTGAGCAGTTTCACATGAAAATTGCTAGTGCTGTTACGTAGCACATATTGCAGCAGGCAAAGCGCCTCAAATAAATAATCCGATTTACTCTCCCGCTTTGACACATCGTACATTACATTTGCAGCAAGAAGTGCATACGGATCCGAGGGTCCCATTTCCGTAGACAGCAGTTCCTTACCAAACGTACTGTGCCCATGTTCATAGTGTAGCTTAAGTGCCGTATAAAAGGCGATCAAATGATCTGTGGACAGCTCAATGTGAGCGCCGCACATGCGAGAAATTTGCAAAGCACAAATATGCTTCTGCATGTGTTCCTTCTGCAAGCAAACATGAATGAATTAAAATAAGTTAGATTAATCCAGTAATATTACTAACGTTCTGCGGTAAGGAGCTTGAGCTAACGCCGCTTTCCGCTAGCAGTTTACTGGCTAAAGATTGTCGTTGCTCCATGCTTATTGAGGGTAAAAACAGTGCTATATCGTGGGTGCAGCAAGACTTATCGCCAAACAGGTGAAAATACTCAATGACCAGCTCGTCAAAGTCACCGACTAGCTCCTCTGCAGGCAGCTGATGGGCACGCATGCGCTGATGCAGCTCTAGACGCGCCAAATAAGGACCACGCGTCTTGCGCGTCGACGACTTAATTATCTGCAATAGAAAGTCATGACAAGTTTTCAGCGAGTATGCTGGCTCCTGCTGCTCCGGCGGTTGCTGCTTTAGAAGTTCGAAACAGCTTTGCAGATACTCCTTATAGTAATCCCAGCGATCTCGACTAATGAAGATTTCATATTTTATATTTATAGACATCAAATGTCACAATTAGCACTTACTCGGCATCGAGAAGCTCTTGCAGCAGCTTATTTAGTTCCAGCCAATTGCCCAACTTCTTGAGCAGCTCAAATTTCATGCTAACGGGAGCACCAGGATATAATTTAGCGCACAGTTCGCCGGTAAGAAACTCCCAGGCGTCCTGGTACTTGTTTTGCAACTTTAATATGTGCAAATAGAGGAATGCCTCCTGCTCCGTCTCCAGCTTGCCCTCCTTGATGTGCTTGTCAACCATCCGCTGCGCTAATGCCAGATAAAGGTTACGTTTCTCAGGTATGCAGGATTCGGGGCCACGGATGCCTTGGAATACCACGCTGATCACGGACCAAAAGTAATAGGCATTCTTTGGCTGTGCCTTGTACAGCTGAAGGGCAACAGCCTGCTGTGCCTTGTAATCCTCCACGCGCACATGAGATACAAATAAATGTGCCAGCAGTTCCTCGTTGCCTGGATTCAGTTTGACAGCATGCTGATAGAGTTCAACTATTTTGTCCACTACAATATCAAGAAAATTAATTTTAGTTCATTGGCTTAATAATGCGAAGGGCCAGCCCCGTAAATATACCAGCAGCACAATAAAATGAAAAACAACATTTTTAGCTGATAATGATTGACAGGTTTCTACAAACGGACAGGTGGATGGTGCGCTTGTCTATTTGCATAGCACCGTTTTACTCAACTTATGGGTAGAGTGCGTTCAATGCACACATACATGCTAAAAATCTGTTTGATTTTTTGGCACGCGCTACAGTCGCACATTCTCTACCCCACGTTCAGCTTACTACCCCGCCAATACCTAAGTGGAGGAGCTAATTTCTGTGCAAATGAAAGCGAGTGCGCAGGCAATTTTAATTGCTCGACCGCGCTCGACCGTGGGCGCGTGCCAAGAAATATACTTATAAATATGAAACCGTCGCCATGGTCTATAGCTATGTGTCTCTGTATCTGTCTCTTTCACTGTATCACCCTCTATATCTTACGTTGTTCCATTTCACGATAGCAGAAAGAGAGCACCTGCAATGTGGAATCGTCCACGGGCTTTTCTTCGGCTACGGATTGTAGGCAACTATGGCTCTCTTCATAGCGTCCCAGACGTAGAAGTGATAAGCCCTATAAATATGTAGAAAAATCAAGGATTTATTTATCAGTTTAAGTTAAAATCTTTTTATTTCGCAATTGCATTTACCTTGAGAGCACGTGCGCAAAGTAAATTTGGATGTTTGCGTAGCAATTTTTCTGATTCCTGTAGCGCTTTGCGGTTGTTTCCCACTTCAAGATTGTCTATGAATTGGCATAAAGGAAACTATAATATATATTAACGGTGTATATACATTAATTGGACTTACCGTAGACCGGTCGCAGTCGACGTTCGAACAGCGCCGTATCCATGGCCTGCTGCTGGTGTGCCATGGTTGATTTGCAGGCGGCTCACTCTAACCAACGACACACGCACCTCACGTTGCTGATGCTTCTGCTGCTACTGCCAATCGTTGCCACTTTTAACCTAATTACAGCGGGCCTCAAGCAACACGCTTGCTTTGATTTTTTATCTTCCAAACGCCGCTTGAATTAAACCCGGTATGTTGCGATGTCCGCTGTGTTGGGCAGAATACAAACCACTCTAGTGGGTATTCTTACAGCAGGTTAAGGTATACAAAATACAGACGATGAAACAATTGTACAAATTATTAACTATTAATTTTTGTTGAATAAAAAAACTTTGCTGCCTCTTCATAAATTCGGCACTAGAGGTGCATGAGAAGCGATACATTTGTTGTTGTGAACTTTTTATCTGCGGACTATCGCCTATCGAAAACACATTGAACAGCTGCGACAAGACAGCTGGGGATGACAATAAGATTACACCGTTGTCAAATTTTCGTTTTATCTACCGTTGGCTGGTAAAGAAAGCTTATATGAACTGGAGCTGTGTTTTATCATTTGATTTTACTTTACTTGCGGTCTCAACGTAATTGTATTGCATTTTGGTACATATATGCAAATAGAAACTTAAGCTGCAAAACTACTGGCGGCACAATTACGAAAAGTCGTTTAACAGCAATAGCACTCCAACACGAGCTTGTATTATACATGTGGCCTATCGGAAACCTTTTGGTATGAGCAATTTGAATCGATTGAACCAATTCCCGTCGTAGTATTTTTATTAATTTGTCTTAAAAAGACTGTTTACGATTTGCGTTGAACTAAGTTGGTATGAAGATTCTCTGTCCCTCTGTAAATAGAATAGCAACCATTCAAATAAATACAGATAATTTAGTTCAAGCCAAAATACTAGGCTCATAATCCTTTTAGTCGATGACAGCACAGCTGTTTCCTGCTCATCTCGAAAAACTTTCATCGCGAAATGGATCAACGATATCCGACTTTTCGCAGTCATGCAGCTTGTGCATTATCGGAAACTTTTATTTGTACCAGCCGGTGGAAACCCTCGTAAAAACTAATTGATAAATGACACATCTCTGTTCAATTTCAACGAACTCGTGACAAATAATAATCAGATCATTCGTATTGTGCACGATATCAGCGTACTGGCACTTCACGCGCACATCCCTAGTTGTTGCCCCCGTCAAAAAACACGCAGCGCAGAAATAAAATGCGATTTTTTAGTGCTGCCGCGTAGATTACGGAGCCGTTTAAAGTATTAAATTACACAATAAGTTGGATTATTTTCCGTGTTCATATTTTAGTCTAGTCTTATCAAATTATTTTAATCGCAAGTCAACTGAATCAACAGAAATACTTTTTTTTAAATTTATGTCCATTTTTGGTGAAGAATTTTGCCAAACGAAAATCAGCACAAAAGCAGCAAACGCAATGAAATGAAATTGAACTGGCTAAGGGAATACTTGGCCAACATTATAAACGCTAGTCGAATATACGAGACTATTACACTCCCATTCGCCGAAGTACGCCTGGAACAGCTCACCCCTCAAGCTATCTATTGCCGCATCAAGTCCACATCGGCCGAAGCACTGGAGCATATACTGATTGCATGTGCGGTATACTTTCTAGTATGCCTAGGCCTATACAAGTTGACCCTATGGCTGTCGGTGTCAGGCGTGACAGGCGCAAAGCAGAACCAGCAGGAGCATCATCTGCAACAGCACGATGGCACCGGAGACAACACAGCGAAAGGGTTGCGAAATACCCTACAAAAAGGTCTACGATTACGTAGCGTTCATCTGCCCAATGCTGCGTTAATGGGCCGAGTACTTTTGGTCATCGCACACCCGGATGACGAATGCATGTTCTTTGGTCCGCTGATCTACTCGCTGACGCAGCGTGATGGCTGTCAGGTGTACGTGTTATGCCTGTCGAATGGTAAGCAATTAACAACAGTCCACATCCCTTACCTGTAATAAAAGTTAATTAACGGTGTTCAATTTAGGAAACTACGAGCAACAGGCGCAGTCGCGTCGAGAGGAGCTATTTCGGGCATGTAAACGTCTTGGCATTGCTGAATCGAATATTATATTGGTGAATGCCACCAATTTGCCAGATGATCCGAATGTTGAATGGCGACCGGATGCGGTTGCCAGCTTTATATTGCATACCGTTGAGAGTCTTGATATAAAAGCGATATTCACCTTCGATCGTGATGGGGTCAGCTCGCATCCCAATCATTGTGCTGTGTATTATGCGGCCGCCTCTTTGTGTTTAGCCAATTTATTGCCTAAGGGTGAGTCACGGGTTGGCTGGCAGCGCCAGCAATAGAAACAAAACAGTCTACAGACCGCATTGCACATGTTAATTGTCATGTTAATTGTAGCTGCGTTTGTTGATGTTGCTGTTTTTGTCAGCGTTACGTTTTCTAATTATAGTTGCGATCATTTTTTATAAACTTTGTATATATATATTTTTTTTTATGGGCCAAATATCAGCCTGTAAGTTTTATACGCTAGACTCGATCAATTTGGTACGAAAATATTTATCCCTCTTCGATTTTCTGTGCACATGCTTCATGTCCACGCATTGGTATGTATTGCGTTACCGTTTGCAATGAGATATGTTCTAATGTGTCTTGCCTTACAGGTGTGTACTCAGCTGGAAAGAGGCATCAGTAGTCAGAAGCGCCATGATGGAGCATCGGTCTCAAATGAAATGGTTCCGTTGGCTATATATCTACACATCGCGCTACATGTACATCAATTCGATGCGCGAAATTAATCTCTCGGATGTCGAGCTGGAAATGCAAATTCATGATAATTAGAAATTGAGCCGGGTACAGCAAATTTGCGAATAATATTACTTTTTGCAAACAAGTTTAATGAATGTAATGTGAAGAAATGAAAAAACACCAAAAGACAAACTACCTTCATAAATGAATGCTTGACCGCAGCGTCGAGATTAGCTACTTTTTTGAAACTGACGATTCTATACTATAATTATATATATATATATTTGTTATCATAACTTACTTTATAGCGTAAGCGTTTTGATCTAGCCAAATTCAACTGCTTTTTGATTTACACGCGCAAGTAGTTGAACAATAAGTGCAACCAAAACCAAAAGGGAACAAGAATTACATGTTAATAACTGAGAGATTGAAACCAGATGCAATCCAGAATTAGTCACACACACACACACACAGTTGCACTCGTACATACCTAAATACATATCTTTGCATATTGATTAGTTTTTAGCTCTAAACGGAGAACAAACTTTATTATTTATACTCAATATCCACATGCGAGCACATATGTTTCTGGAGCTTGCAGCGAACTAAGTGCAGTATGATGCTAATGATTATGTTACGTTTATGTTATGTTTGATTCTTATTATTAATTTACGTTTTATATATTTGTTCGTGTGTACATTCGATTCCTTCCTTAGCATACAATTTAAATGCACGACTCAATATTTAGTTCTTGTGTATGTAAATTTGTAAAATAGTTTGTTGTAAGCAGCGAAGTACAATAATTTTTATACATGTATAAACTGACGAGCGAAGGTCGTTAAATAGTCTATAATGAGAGAGATTCATAGATGCTGAGAAACAAACAAAAATGTTAAAATGTGTATTTTGAAAACATGCATCAATTAAAAAACAGTGTTTCAAAGCAAATTCTATTAAAAAAAAAATGATGCTTTAATTTTTTTTTTTTTTAATTACAAAGCCTTCTTTTTATACAGCAAAGGATACTCGAACAAAAAAATTTATCTACTCAAATTTGATCTTTAATAGTGATATTTTAATTTTTTTTTGAACAGTCCCCCAATGTTAATCTCTTCTGTATTATTAACGATTATTTTCCGTAAGCCAATGTTTGACTCGTGTTGTGCACTCTTAAACGCTTCCTCTAACATGCTCCATGAGAAGGTTCTTGCAATGAATTTGTGCATCGGTGCGCGACCAGATTTAATTAGTTGTAATGCCGTTGGATACCTGTGCAGGCAGCATTATGGATAAATTGTGTGAATGATCAATATATATGCATGTATATTGTGTGCTTACATATTGGCAGAGCGAAAGCTTGGTATAAGTCGTATGTTTTTCATTAGTATGTCTAGAGCATTGAAGCTGGCGCATTCTGACTCGCATTCTGTCAGGATGCATGCGCTGCATGGTTGTAATGCCATTACGGCCAGGTTCATGGTCATCGGTGAGATGGCGCAGTTGATGGCGCAGTTGGGCCACTCCTGGAATTTGCTATACACATCCTCGAGCACCTCTCCGAATAGTGCGTTCGAGTCAAAATAGATGGTCTTGAAGCCAAAATCACAGTCAATCATTTTCAGCGACGAGCGCATGCTCCCAGCAATGGTTACCTTCCGAGCGCCAATCGCTCTGGCGCATAGTGCAGCCGCCACAGCCGTGGGGGTTGACCCAATGATTAGTATATTGCTTGTGGGCGATACTTGGGCTTTGAAACAGGCCTGACAGCCCATCGCCAAAGTTTGGGTCAGGGTGCCCTCCTCCAAGCTGGTGGAGTCTGGCAAGCGATGGCAAAGGTCTGCTGGATGCGTTTGATGTGTGGCCAAGAAGCCGTTATACATTAGATCGGCACAGATGTTATACAAGCCGCGTTTGCAGTAATCACAAATTCCACAGGACAGGGCCGATTCAACGACAACACGATCACCCACATGCAAATGCTTGACACAGCTGCCAACCTTCTCCACAAAGCCAGTGGCATCATGTCCCAAGGTCATTCCCTCCATACTCTTATTCGCATTCTCATAGACATGTATGTCTGAGCCAGTAAGCGCTACAGAGCCGATGTCAATGAGCACATCTATTGGACGGGTTGACAGAGTGGCATGTGAATTAGTGAGGCTGGTCCAACTTACCAAAAGGTCTGACATCCGGTTGTGGTTGGCGCTCTCTACTTATCTGATATGGTGCAGGTATGCGTATCACCTCCATTGTGGACAAATCATCCTCGCCGGGCTCTTCCTTAGTAATCGGAGAGTGTTGAGCCTGGCTGATGAATCGCCTTGTGGAAACCATACGCATTTGATTATGGAATACTTGGCCCGCGGCTAGAAGTTTATTTCTTTCTACCTTAGGACACAATTATAGAGCAGTGTTAGTTATGCTGGATTCTAAATGAATATAAATATTTAGTCGTACGCACCTTTGCCCTTTTTGCCTTTGCTCTTTTTACCGACCATGCAAATGGCGGGGAGTTTCTTCTTCGGTTTTTTGGGCACTTTCGGCTTTGGTGGTTTCTGTCCCCTCTCACATTTCTTGCGCGGCACTTTGACCGTGTCACAAACACTAGTGCAGCGGTTTACGGGACATCCGTCATCATTTGGATCATAGCAATCGGTGCGTAGACTCGTGCGCGCCTTAATATGCTTGCGATCCCTTGGCCCGCCTTTACTTTGCAGTGCATTACACTTGCCATCCGCAGCCTTCTTCTTTTTGGATTTTTTGCTGTATCCACGCTGGATCTGGTTTCGCGCACTCTTCGACGTAATACCCCAGGCAGTCATCTGTGCTGGCGAGGGCATTCCATCGTAATGACGACGCACTAGAGTCGAGTACACACGAAACCTGGCAGGTGTAATTGAAGAGGTGTTCGCCTGTTTGCTTAGAGAGCAGTTGGAAAGCTTTGCTTGCCTGCTGAGGTAGCTGCGACGCACTCGGGTAGTGTAGGTCTTAAAGCAGGGTCGCAGTTTCAATAAGAATTTGGAAGCACTCTTCGTGGCGACAGTTTTTGGGCCATTCAATTGGAGGGATGATAGGAAACGTTTGGGATTGCGGGTGAAGTGAAAATGGGAGCCATTGGGATGATAGAACTTGGAAACGGGACTAGTGTACGTTGAGTACTTCTTCTTGCAGGGATCTTTCTTATCCTTTCCATCGCCTTTGCCGCCGCTACCCTTCTTGAATTTGGCACAGGGGTCCTTTTTGTCGCCTTTACCACCGCCTTTGCCTCCTTTTGCGTCCTTTTTATCACCGCCCTTTTTGCAAGGGTCCTTTTTCTTATCACCACCCTTGGCGTTCTTCTTGAATACGGCGCAAGGATCTTTTTTATCCTTGCCACCTGCTCCTCCTTTCTTGGCGCAAGGATCTTTCTTCTTGTCGCCACCTGCTCCACCCTTCTTAGCGCAAGGATCTTTTTTCTTATCGCCGCCTGCTGCTCCTTTCTTGGCGCAAGGATCTTTTTTATCCTTTCCGCCAGCTCCTCCCTTTTTGGCGCAAGGATCCTTTTTCTTATCTTTCCCACCTGCTGCTCCCTTCTTGGCGCAAGGGTCCTTTTTCTTATCCCCACCTTTGGCACCTTTCTTGAATTTGGCGCAAGGGTCCTTTTTGTCGCCGGCCCCGCCTTTTCCGTCCTTTTTGCCACCGCATCCCTTCTTATCATCTTTACCTCCCTTTTTGTCACCACCTTTATCGCCTCCCTTTTTGAACTTAGCGCAGGGATCTTTTTTTTTGTCGTCCTTACCTCCTTTGCCAGCACCTTTCTTGCCACATTGATCCTTTTTGCCAGCACTAGCTGTGATTTCAGTCGTGCTCTCTGCCTTCTTTTCTGGCTTTTTTGGCTGCGGACGCTTGCATTTGTCATCCTTGCAGGGGTCATCGAGCAGCGGGCATTTCTTAGGGCATTTCTTCTTTTTCTTTATAATGGGATGCTTGCAGCCATCCTTTAACTGTGGACTAGCGACCGCTGCTTGATCATCAATGATGGGCTCCGCCACTGCACTCATTGTTGGCACAGTATGTTGTTGCTTCATGCGTTTCATCTCCTGGCTACGTTTCAATGCCTTGCGACCAGCATGGGTCGCTATCTGGCCCCCAGCATGCATGGGTGCAACTATCTCCTTGGACTCGTCTGTACTTACAGGCGAGTCAGCATACTGGATCATCCTCGACGGCACCTGCTGCTGCTGTTGCTGCTGCAGCTGCTGCTGCTGATGTTGTTGTAGTTGTAGTTCTTGTTGATCTAGTGGCTGTGGTTGTTCTAGTTGATCTGCCGGCTGTGGTTGCTCTTGTTGATCTAGTGGCTGTTGTTGCTCTTGCTGTTCGACAGCAAGTCCTGCTTCAGATGCAAATCCACGCTGCAGTGCCGTACTGCAGATGCTTGCGGCAATTGAGGTAACCGTATCATTATATTCCGGCAGTTGCTCATCGCTCAAATGGCTTGGATCCAGTTTGTCGGCATCGATCTGAACCATGCCCTTGATCAAAGCATTGAACCGCAATGGCACTGTGTTCTGCGGCGCATTCTCGGGATCGGCCTCTACCTTGGTTTCCAGAAAAACCATGGCATCCCTGCCTAGTGTGGGCTCAGGCTTGTGGGCCAGTTCACCGTTTAGTATGGCATCGCGCACATTTGTCATATCCATTTCAAAGGACAAATGCATGGAAGCAATGGCCATATCATTCAATCGCTGACCCAATGCATCCGGCACTTCGATACTTATTTGATCCACATGGGGATCATCCCTAGTCATCTCCTCTGAATCGGCCTGCGCGACATTCGCATTGGTGGCACTAATTTGCAGCTCCTTCGGATCGCCGAGGGGCATCGTCTGTGGCAGTGTCTGAGGTGGCGAGCCAGGCTTGGTGTTTGGTGATGCTGGCGTTTGGTTTGGTGCTGATGGGATGGACGGCTTGTACGGCGCAGGTGTCATTGGTGCAATATCTGCCTCGGGCGAAGCCGCCGCACAGGTTGCTGCATTATCTGCTTGAGCGATCGCTGTCATATCGACTGCTTCGTTTGCTAGCTGCCTGAGCTCAGCTGCCTGAATAGAGGCCTCGTCCGCCGTGTTTGTCGTGGTGTTTCCCATATTTTGAGAATCGCTGGCTTTGCCTGTAGCCTTTCGAGTATCAGTTGCTTTGATGGCAACAGCATTGGCTGAATCTTCGCTGAATCCACTATCGACACCCTCCACATATCCCTCAAAGTAGCTAACTTTGCGTTTATCTTCCGCTGGCTCCTCGATGGCTGTTGGTGTCTCTTTGGCAGACAGTGCCGCCTCATCCTTGTTAAGGTCCTCGATCATGCTGTTGGTGAAAGCGTCTATCTCGCTGGCATGCATGCGAAGTTGATTGAGTGCCTCGAGGGTATTGCGCAGACTTTCGATATCCTGATTGGCCAAATCTAGCGGCACAATAACGATCTTCAATTGCTTGCCCTCCTTGGACTCGGGCATTATGATGCCGACTGGCACCACATTGGGCGCCGTCGCCTCTGCTACCTCGCTGCTCTCGGATGGCGTTCCACTGAAACTAATACGCTTGCGTAGCATATCGACATTCGTGTGGGGGGTAAAGACACTCGATGAACGCTGCGAATACAGCTGAACGTGTATCATGGTGGGTAGTGATGGCAGCATTTCAATTAAATGTGACGGTGTTGGATGCCAACAGACGCACTTCGAGCAGATCTTTTTCCATTGCTTGCAGCTACCATGGAGCAGTCGGTGCGGTCGACAGATGGGCGCATGATAGCTTAAACATCGGGAGATCTGCGAAAGATATGTCGCCATACGTGTAAAATATATGCTTTTTCAATACTTTTTTTTTTTCTTCACCGATTAATTTAGAA